GTTATCATACCAGCAGATCTTCTCTTTTAATCAACTTTAACAAAATATCATTAAGAGATGTGTGTTGGTGTCAGGAATTCTCTAGTCATTGGTTAAGCCTTGGAATGTGTTCTGTGATCATACAGCATGTCTTCTTTCCTCAGGTGTTAAGGAAAAAATTGGGTGGTTTAGAGAAGTGACTTGGAAATTGAAGGAAATACGAGTGAAAAATAGTACGAAAGTCTGCTGGTGGAGAAGAACTTGTTGTTTGTTGGCTTATTGAGATGTCCTTGATTTCATTAGTATCATTATATTCCCATGAGCAAGCACGTAAGCTTATGCCACTCAGTTTATGAAGTTGAACCTTCATGGATTACACTGCCAAGTTTTCTCTTTTTCCACTTGTGGCTGAGATTCCAACTATAGGATGCATTTCCTATTGATCTACAGGTACTGGTTTTTACCTTTTCATTTCTTTCTTTTTTTTTTTTTAAACTTTATTGGGGAGCAATGTGTTTTTTCCAGGACCCATCAGCTCCAAGTCAAGTTGTTGTCCTTCAATCTAGTTGCGGGGGGCACAGCCCACCATCCCATTAGGGAATCAGACCGGCAACCTTGTTGTTAAGAGCACGCGCTCTAACCAACTGAGCCATCCAGACGCCCATGGGCAGCTCAGCTCAAGTCGTCTTCAATCTAGTTGTGGAGGGCACAGCTCACTGGCCCATGTGGGTATCGAACCAGCAACCCTGTTGCTCAGAGCATGTTCTAACCAACTGAGCCACCCAGCCGCCCCTTATCTTTTCATTTCTTTTTTTTTTTAAGATTTTTATTGGGGAATTGGGGGAGGGAACAGTGCTGGGGAATTGGGGGAAGGGGAACAGACAAGTTGCTTCCCTTTTGTTCTTCAGTCTAGTTGTGGAGGACGTTGCGTCACTGGCCCAAATTGGCACCATCATTGCACTCTTCCCGGGCGAGGCAGATCAGTCGCCGGCTTCTGGACGGCTGCTCATGGTGGCTGGTGGCCGCTCACGCTGGCTGCTGGCTACATACGGTAGCCCATGGCAACCCACTGCAGCAGGGGCTGCAGCCTATGCCATCGCCAGCGACTCAGGGCAGCCCAGCTCCAGGTTGAGCTGTTGTTCAGCATCTTAGCTGTAGAGGGCAGTGTCACTGGCCCTCATATGTGGTATCCGAACCCTGGCCCTCTGGTGTTCCAAGCCAGCTCTTAGCCAACGCACCACTCGGCCGGCCCACCTTTTCATTTCTTATTGAAGCATTCTATATTCACTTCAGTTTGCTTTCTTGAAGTTTTTGGTTAGGGAGAACACATTTAATTTTTCCAGAAGAAAATTATGTGCTAATGTACATAATTAAGCATCAAGGAGAACACGGGAAGATGAGAACTTTTGCATATGGTTGGTGGGAGTAAATCAGAGAGCATGTGACAATACCTAGTTAAGTTGATGTTGTGTGTTCCCTAAATCCAGCAACTCCACCTTGAGTGTATGGTTTAGATGCCATAGAGTTGAGAGTGGTGCCACTCAATATGTGCTCTGCAAATGGTGAAGGTTTGTAGGCTGTTTGCTTTCAGTCTACAGTGGGATAAGGAAGAAAATGAAAGTAAGCATTTAGAAGCTGTTATAATGACAATTTAACATTTCTATGACACCCAAGGGTATAACTTTGAATTTTATACAAGTATTGGTTCAAAACAGACTAAAAATAAGAAAAATGGGCCCTTTACCACAGGTAGTTTGGGAAGCACTGCCCAAGAGGCATTCCCGCACATATGCAAAAAGACCTGTATAGGATTGCTTAAAATTACTATATACGGGTGTGTGTAACAGCCTAAATGTCTATTGTTAGGAAAATGTATTACAAATATCATTATATGTCCTAAGAAAGAATGTTATTCAACAATCAAAATGAATGAATTAGATCTACATATATGAACATGGATAAATCTGAAATAATTTTAAATAAATGAACAAGTTGCAAAATGATACTTACATTATAATTATATAAAATATAAAACAAAATAATAATATATTTGCATACATAGCAAATGGCTAACAACATGGATGGGAACGATGCCCATCAACTTCAGAAAAGAATTTAAGTCTGGGAAAGGAAAGTGCGAAGCAGGATTCCAAATGAGAAAAAAAGAGCCTTCAGCTGTATCTATAATCTTTTATTTCTTTTTAAAAAAGCTGAAGCGAATATGGCAAAAATATCTACATTTATCATATCTAAGTGGTGGGTACATGGATATTAAATCTTTTTCTCTATTTTTCTGTATTTTAAAAATATTCATAGTAAAAGTAGAAAAATATGGAGTGAATACAGAGGTAGGAATAAGATTAGATATATGTACAGTGGAGTCAGATCTGGGCTTAAATTTTGCCTCTCTGCCACTTACTGTTAGCCTTCATTTCCTGAAATATTCTGATTTTCTATTTCCTAAGATGAGAATAAAATATCACCTACCTCAGCTTGGAAAGATTTGATGAGATAACAGTATTATTGTCGTTGTAGTTGTTACAAATCAGTCACTCAACTGTTGTGCCTGGAAAGGTACTAGATTAAATTCTAAAACAGCTAATTGCAGCCATCTTCCAAAGATGGGAGGAGCATAACATGTCAATCATTCTTTGAAGTAGTAATAAACTAAGTACAAATATTCTAAACTAAAAGATACTGCATTCTTTTATAACCATGCATTCAAAGTGATTTAGTAAAAGTTCTCATCACAAGAAGAAAATATAATGTTATATGTCAATTATATCTCAAAACTAAAAAAAAAAAAAAAAAAAAAACCAAGGAAACAGGTGTTTTAGAAATGGTCCTGTCTCAGTTCTAACTGGATGATGAATCACAGGTTGCTTCCAACTCTTGAATTCTCTTTTATGTGGACTGTGGTTGAATGGCCCTCATTGTTTACAGAGACAACAAAATTGAGAATACTCTTGATTTTTTCATTTGTACTTTGTAATTTGTACTCTTGCAATTAATTTGTACAAAATGCACCAAAGCAGAACAGATGACAATGGGGGGAAAAAGAATGGTCAGTTAAATTTTGCACCAGTGAATCTCAAAGCCAGGAATGATTTGCCAGGAATGATATTCCATGAACAGAAAACTCGGACAGCCATCTGTCTTGCTGAGTAGCACAAGGCACAGTTAATGTGGCTGGGCCTCTAGTTCTGCTGACACAATATGTGCTGATAAATCTGAATTTTGAAGGCTTGGATTTAACAGAGCCATGTGTATCCCAGGGGCCTGGCGAATGAAAAGCTTATGCAGCTTATCAGCAGAAAGGTGACAGAAAGGCCCTGGGTCCACTGCCAGTGCTGGGGAGATGTTTATCATCCAGGCCTCAGAGAACAGGAGTATGACCCATACCAAACACTTCAGAAATAATGTCAACATACTCAAGACCACAGCCAGCAAGGAATTCTCTGAGATAAGATTACAACTCTGTCCTTAAAGGGACGCCAACCAAGTCAATCGATCCCCAAACAGTCCCTCAGCAGAGCAACCCTGTAAGTTATCCTTCATACCAGGGAGCTCAATTTTTGTGCTTCTAGATGCAAATATTCAGCTGTTATTCTCTAAAATATGCACAGAATTCTAGCAACATCTAAGAAAGTCCCTGCAGGGCCAGGCTTGGTGCTGTGGAGATCAGCCAGTTGTAGGAGCTGGAGACAGTTCTCTATTGGCAAAAGCATTTATTCAGATTTCAGGATTTTGTTTCTTCTTTGTCTAGGCCAGAGGGCCTCCAAGGCTAGATTAGACCTCTAGTCTAGGTCTAGGATGAAGTCATTAAGGAAAAGGTGATTCAGTCTTAGAGATGAGTAGGTGCAAAAGACCACTGCCATTGTCTGTTTAAATACCTAGTCATGAGCTTGGTTTAGATATCAAAATGCACACAGGCACTGGGGGGATGGGGTGGTCAGGTGTTCTCCCAGGACCATCTTGGTAACGAGAAGAAGCAGCCTACAGAGAGACAACTCGCCTTTGATTGTCATCCAGACACTAACGGTATCACTTCTTGTTTTGAAACGCCTCACACTCATTCCTTTGCACTCCCTGTACACAGCCCTGTGTGGCCTTCTAATTCCTCCTTCCCAGGGCTGTGCTGTATACAGTTCCCAGATTAATTAGCAAGCAAACCCTTTTTTATCATATCATCCCAAGAAAGTCTCACAATAAAGTTCACACTCCTCTAGTTTTATTATGAAATGCCCTCACTAATATCTACACAATTTCTCCTTCTCTGTTAATCTTTATTTCATTCAGAGATTCTACTTATGGGCTGTGTTAACTTTTCAATTTTCCTGCCTCTATGCTTTTGTTCCCACTGTCTGCCCCTTTTGGAATTCGCTCTCCCTCCTCTTCTAGTCAGACTCTCTCTTCCATTAGACCTTTGCAGACCAATCCCGCCAACATTGATCTGACCCTCCTCTGAACTCTGCTTCTTTATCATCTAGAGTCCATACCAGCCCTTTGGCAATTAATCTCATTCTGCTTTGTGAATTTATCTTGACTTTGTGTGCTCTGTCTTTCGTTCTTCTCTCTCTCTCTCTCTCTCTCTCTCTCTCTCTCTCGTGTGTGTGTGTGTGTGTGTGTGTGTGTGTGTGTAGCTAGATAAAGGGCCTATGAAAACTAAATTCTATGACTTATATATATCTTTAGAATACACTAATAGGTGCTCTGTGACGTTGTTATTGGTTGGTAATTCTTGCTTAGGATCTTGATTTTTTTTCCATGAAGACAGGAGTCTTCACCTTCTGTCCACTCCTGTATCCACAGCACATGGAGCCGTGCCTTACATATTAAAAGCTGAGTATGTCGGTTCTTCCTGCTGTTCTAGAGAGGGTTTCCTTGACTGGGGTCTGCAGCTGGCCTTGACATTCAGCCTTGTGTTCTAGCTTCCTGAGGACAGAGCTGTCTTACTCCCAGGCTGGCAGGTTTCTTAACTGCCTCTGACATGGCTATGTCTGGACGTTCTTTCTCCTCAGACGGATACTCTCATTCTTCAAATGAAAATGGCGGCAAGTCCGAGTCAGTAGCCAACCTGCAGGCTCAGCCCTCCCTGAACTCCATCCACAGCTCCCCCGGTCCCAAGCGCTCCACCAACACCCTTAAGAAGTGGCTGACGAGTCCTGTGCGCCGGCTTAACAGTGGGAAAGCAGATGGAAACATCAAGAAGCAGAAGAAAGTACGGGATGGTCGGAAGAGCTTTGACCTGGGATCTCCCAAGCCTGGGGATGAGACTACCCCTCAGGGAGACAGCGCTGATGAGGTACGTATGTGCAACCAGGAGCCTTCCATTAGGAAGGGCTTCTGACAGACATCCTTCCTGGAACCCTGTGAGGTATTTTCCATAGTGTGATAAACTAGGCAGTCTCTAGTCCCCAGCAGTGTGTCTTCTTTTTGAGCTCAAGTGACCTGAGTTCTTTGCAATCTCAAGCCAGTTTGATGTGTGACCAATTCAGAGACTGACTAGCACCTGGGATATCCAGTGGACAGACACCAATTTGCTGGCTTTGGCTCCACGGGGAGGCAGTTGGTCACTTAGTCCCCTGTCTCTGCCAAGGACTATGTCAAAACCTACTAGGTCTGTTCAGAGTAAGAATAAAAGAATGAAGACTTATTTCCCTTGGAAAACAGAACACTGCTCTGGGAGACTATAGCTGTTCATGAATGTCTTCAGCAATACCACATATAAAAGGGAGTAGACAAGTCAGGGTTGCTCTGGAAGGGAAAATGATGGTTAACAGGTGAAAGTTACAGCAGGGATGGTTGCAGCTCAAAGAGAGACTTCAGTGGGGGGTCAACCAGTGATGAAATAAGCCTTCGTGAAAATAAGTGAACACCCATGCCGGAAGGGTTTAGGAGACTGTATGACCGACCTCACATATCAGAGGGATCCCTGTGTTAGCCAAGAGGTCAGACTGGATAACCTCTGAAGTCCCTTCCAAAGCTGAGAGTCTGTGATCAAAATGTTTTGGTTGGGGGAATGAGATAGCTGTTTTTTCTGGCAAGCCCAACCTACTCTAGTCACTGATGTGGCTAAGAAATACTTCCTGATGTGTAACCAGACTCTCTTTGTAATTTTTTGCTGTCTGCTATTTCTCCCTCTCAAAATGGCAGGAAAGCCTGGTGATATTCAGGTTGTGGCTTACTAGTCCTTCAAAACCTTAAGAAGTTAGGCTCTCTCTGACCACTCTCAGCTTTCTCTCTTCCTGGCTAATCAATGAAGTAGCTGGGTGTGTGTGTGTGTGTGTGTGTGTGTGTGTGTGTGTGTGTGTGTTCCCCCATTTGGTCCTCGCTGTCCTTTGAGATAAGCAGGTATAGCTGTTCTACAGAGGAGGACACTGAAGCTGAAAAACGGGGGGGTGTTGAGAGAGGAAGTATCTTATACGTTGTTTTTTTTAGAAAATTGTAAGTCCATTGGTATCTTTAACGATATGGAACAGTGACTAATGCTTTTCTTTTGTTCTAGAAGAGCAAGAAAGGTTGGGGTGAAGATGAGCCAGATGAAGAGTCACACACCCCCCTCCCCCCACCTATGAAGATCTTTGACAATGACCCCACACAGGACGAGATGGTAGGACTTCTTTACAGGCTCACTGGAAAGAACAGCGTGTCATGCATGTGACTTCATTTTGTGTGTGTGTGGCGGGGGGGGGGGCCGGTGGAGGTAGTAATACTCTCTCCCTTGTTATCTCTTATATGACGTGAATACGTGGTGCTATAGATTCTGTCTGTATTTGGTNGGGGGGGGGGGGGGCCGGTGGAGGTAGTAATACTCTCTCCCTTGTTATCTCTTATATGACGTGAATACGTGGTGCTATAGATTCTGTCTGTATTTGGTAGGGGCCCCCTCCCCTAACCCTGGAGGTCTGACGTCATTGCGGGCAGTGTCACCGTGTAGGCAGAATGCTCAGAGTGGGGATCTGCCTGGTGTCTCATTCCTATTGACGAAGGGTAAGGGCTCCATCTTTGGAAGCAGCAGATCCCCAAAGTCACTGTTTGTCTCCAAAAGGAATCTGAGGTGGTTCTAGGTCATGATCATTTTGTTGTGCCTGACTGTATGACTGATGTTTTAGCTGATTGTTTTCCCTGTACTCAACTCTAAAACCCGAATAATGATAACTTCAGTCAAGCCCAGTACTGTTAAAATTCTGCAAACACAACATGAGGATGGAAATGCTGCTAAGGGGAGGTTGCTGTCAAAGGTGGGCAAACCTAGTATACCAGGTTGCTCAAGTTCTCTGTTTTGCGAAATGTTCCGACTCACTTGGCAGAGGCTTATGGATGTCTGAAGTGAGATGTCCGCTGGGCCTCTCATCACAGGATGATCAGTCCTGCTGTCTTGGAGCAGAGGCTGAGGTTGGATGTGCTTTCAGGTTCTGCCCCAAGCCTTGGGGTTGCTGTGATTGCGTGCTGTGTCGCTCACCTTCACTGCATTGTGTTTTTCCTGCCTCTTCTTAGTGTTGCTGTCCTTTGAAGTCTGGAGGTTGAAGTGGTGGTTTCAGGTTTTGATTGTCATTCGCATTTGCTTTTCAGAGTGTCATTTGGTGGTGGTGGTGGTGGTGGTGGTGGTGGCGGCGGTGGCTTAGCTTCCGTCCAGGGTCTCCCTGTGCTCTCTAGTGCTCTGCCCTGCGGTGCGGCAGCCTCCTCTGATACCGTGGACCCAGCGCACAGTACCACCTAGGATACAATTCAAAAAGCACCATTTGCAGATGCTTCGGCATTTCTGGTGATATCCCAGTTCTGGTTTTAATTCTGTCTGCTTTCCACTCAGATCGTTAACCCACAGACATTAATTGAGGGCTTCCTCTGTGCCAGAGGGACAGATTCTAGAAACAGGATGATGACTAGGAGGTGGTTGCTACCCTCTCCGTGACTCACCCATGAGAAGGACACAATTGTGGCCCCTCCTAAGGCGATGTTGGTGGCCCTGGTCTCCAGGGCCAGCCCTGACTCTTGACTGCTGGGAAAAAAGTAGCAGGAATCATGGCATGGTGCCCGTCCTGGATTCCCAGAGACAGAAGTGCCTGTGTTTCACCTTGAGATGGGAACGAGAACCAACCTGCTGTGTTCCCAGAGACCTATCCTTGTAAAATGTTCCATAAACAGTGATAGTATATATGGGGAGTAGGACACCCATGTCACATTATCTGCCATCCCACACAGCCCTCCACACAGAGGTGTCAGCTTGTGTAAGATAATAAATGAAGGTCACGAACCCTCTAATTCTCTCAGACGCAGCTTGTTTGGGGGAAAAGGATGTTATGTTGTTTCTGGACAATTTTTAACTGAAAATGCAGACTTACCCCTAGACATTTGTGTAGACGTTTTCTTAGCCAGAAATAGGGCAGGTGGCAATAGTCTCTTTCTAGACTCATTAACCCTCCACAGTCCTGCTTATTTGATTTCTGTACCTTTGGTTATCTGGAATATTTGGTGATCCTCAGAAGTTCTAGCAAATGAAGTTGGATTTATGAAAATACTTTTTACAGCGGTGTAAAGGAATTTTTAGAAGTCCACTCATTGTAATGTGCAATTACTTTAATTCTCCATGTGTCCTTCTAATATTTGTTCATATGCATGTGTGTTTTATTTCATATTTCATAAAATCTTTCATTTTAGCTTCACAACTATAATCGTAGTAGCTGGGGAGTGTTTACTTTATTTAATGTGCCATAATTTGCTTGACCAGCCTGTTTTGGGGTATCATAAGTTGTTTCCAATTTTTGCTACTCCGGATAATACTGCCACAGATCACTTTGTACATATAGCATTTGTTCTTTTCCCTTCTGTCCTTGAAATAAGTTCCCAGGGGTAGGATTACTAGATAAAAAAGTTGATAACTTAGATTTCCAAATAGACTTAAGCTCCCTTCCTGCGTTCCCCAAGAGAGGAAAAAGAGTGTTGTTATCTCTTGCTTAATAACATTTATTTGATTATCTTTTTTCAGAAGCAAAGACCTAAAGTAGCTCTTAGGTTAGATAAGAAGCTTCCTGTTTAAAACTCTTTTCCCTAATATAGGGACAAACTTGAAGCCAGAGCATGGCCAGGACATTCAGCTTTGTACTCCCTTGGTCATTGGTGTTGAAGACTGAAGGAGCATGCGTCCTGGGCCCTGGTAACCGTATTGCCATCTGCTGTGATGTGCCAGGGATTAAAGCTCGCCCATGCATGTAGGCTTAATTATGACTCCCCAATTTCTTCTCAACTAAGAGAAAGAAGAAATAAAAAAATAATAATAAAAAAAAAAATACATTGCCCTTCAGTGAGCAGGAGTCCCCAAACCATTGACCTAACAGTCACATGACCCAGTCCTTATTGCAGGTGCCAGGGCAAGAGGGACAGGCCCTTGGCTGGAACACCCTTTCTCCGTGAACATTATCATCTCCCTTACTCCAGCTCGTAACACACAGGTCCTGCTAAAGCCCTGCCCCTAGCATTTTTGCTTAACATGTAGTGAAGATCCATATCTAAGATCTACATCGAAGGAAAACAAGGACAATTTCTCTTCTTTGGACACACTCCAGACTAGGTGTTTTTGACTCCTTTCATATCCTGGAACAGCAATGAGCAGCCCTGTAGTGAGTGGCTAGTCTTGTCTGCCTTCCCCCACCCCCACCCCCACTGCTGTCAGGTGGTACAGCCCTTACCTACTGGCCCCCCAGGGAACACAGAGACCCCGCCCCTCAGCTTCTTTGGTGGCCTGCCTAAGGAGAGCCTAGTCCCATCCCTGCTTCACTGCTGGCCAGAATTCTTGACAAGGGGTCAGGCAGGTCTGTCCCATACCCACACCCCCGATCTCCCTCTGTCATCTCTTCCCTCTAAATAAAAAACCTTGCTTGCCTTGCCGGTCTTGAGCTTTGGACTTGCTGTTTTGCTTCCTAATTGCTATTCCTCATTCCTTGCTAATCTGCTTTTCCTTTGCTGCTCAATGTCTTGCAGTCCTCCTCTTTGCTAGCAGCCCGGCAGGCTTCCGCCGAAGTACCTACTGCTGCAGACCTTGTCAGTGCAATAGAACAGTTGGTCAAAAGCAAGCTGGTAAGTGGGGGCCCTGGAGGCAGTTCTGCCTGTGTCTCACCTCCATGCGGCTCCCAGGGCCTGGCATGTAGCTGCAGTGTTCTCCTTTGTACCTATCCTCATTCCTCCTATAGGATTGTTTCTAGCTAATTGTGATTTCTAAAAAGCTGTGTCTCAAAGTCCTTTTTGGCTTTGTTTGGGAATGGACACGGGCAATTAACAGGCTCTTTTGGCATTGTCACATTGATGATAAGTGAAAGGATCCAAGACAAAATAGCCTTCCTATGAGCCTGGTCCATTGGCCTCTGGGGAAGTGACTAATGTATAGTCTGGTTAACCCTGAAACTACCTTTGCTGCTGAGACACAGAACATGGATTGGAACTTTGAAAGCACTGGGTAATTTTATTTGGGGGCCTCAGGTAGCCTTCTACCATGCAAAGTTTTTCAAAAATTGATTGCTAACTATGAAAGGGAATGGGCAAAATTACATGGATACCTCGCCACAAGAAATTAAGGGAGCTGGTGCGTATCTCATTATGAGTCTGAGCTGGTTCAGAGTTTCAGAACTAATGCCGGTGAAAGAGCTCCTTTTTGGATAGAGCTGTTCCTCTACTGCCTTTTTACATTTGAGTGAATCACTACAGGATGACAATTTGTAGTCTTTTCCTTTTCTTTGCTCTCATTCATGTCACTCATTTGGTTTTTCCTGCAACTCTCATTAGGCTAAATGTCTGCGTCTGCCAGACTTCTGTTGGGCAAGTCCTGTTAATCAGTCCCATTTAAACCCTTCTCCATTTGGCGCAGGAATTAGAGGAAAATGATGGGTGTTCTCTAGGGAAAGCCGCCTGATAATAATTTTAATTACAGTAACTCCCTTTTCCAATATCCCAGCTCACAGAGTACCAATGAAATTTAACACATATGACTTTCTTCTTTTCCTTCTAATTTTCCTTCCTAATTAAAAAAAAAATTAGCTGGTGTTTTCAGTAACTAGTGTCAAACTCTTGAAGGTTGTCCATTTTCCTGCCATTTCTCCCTATCTCACTGAGAGTTGAGTGCTCTCACGCTCACAGCATGCCTCTCTGACCACGCCTCACGTGTTCTTTCCTCATACAGCCTTTTCATTCTCCAAATACCATTTAATTTTTTTTTTTCTTAAAAAAATCATCCCTTTTTTCTTTTTTTCAGTTTCTCTTTTACCATGAGCCTGGGCCCTGACCTCATGCCTGGACTCTTCCCGTGTCCATTGCTTGATCTTTCTCTTCCCTGGTCACCCTCCCAGGCCTCGCTCGCCTGATGGGTCTCCCAGAAGCACTGTTTATTGCTTCCCTCCTCAGTGAAAGCTCATGAGCTCCCTGACACCTACACAAGCAGTGGTCCCCAAGGCGGGGGTGCCCTCAGATACACAAGACAGTTTATTGAGGTGCAGGAAGAAAATGTTAGAATCCCTTTATCTCATCATTTTAAAATGGTTTCGTATGTGTTATCATGTATACATAATAATAATAGAGTGGCACAGATATATAATTTATAAATAAGTTACACGCTTTGGGAGTACATGACCAAAATTTACTGATGGCGGTATATAATCAAAGTTCAGAAATCACTGGCCCATACAGAAAGTCCATATCTACCCCAAATTCTAATGTTTTGTAGCCTCTGCTTCAACCAAATTGTTTTCTTCACTATCCCTAAACACACATTTGGCTTTCCTCCCTCCAAGTTTTTGGTCATACCACCCCACTTCTCTGGAATGTTCTCCCTCTTATTTTTGCTTATAGTCCTTCAAGATCCTGCTCAAATCTCATCTCTTGACAAGGGCTTCCCTGATCAGCTGGGGCCAGATTTCTTCAGCAGTCCCATGGCACTTACTGTGAAGCCACACACTGCCTGGGACAGCTCTGAGATGGTTCTGCTGTGCTATTTGTTAAAATACCTTAAAATAACCTATTCATTTGCAGCTTACCTCCCCAGCTAATGATTTGTCATTTAGGACATTATTTTTTCCTCTTGCTTGGTATACTTATATAGGATCCTTTTACACTTACACAAGTAAACACTTTTGTTTCCAAAAATCTGTGTTTTTTCATATTTTGGGTTACCTTTTTCCTACGACTACCACTCACCTTAGCACTGTTGGGAGTCTCTGCAGGCCTCTAGTTTGTATGATCAATGGGTCTGGCGTTAAATTATGTAAGTGCAGATATTGAGAAGTCCCATCAGAGGAGAGGGGGTGTAGGATGGTGGTGGAGCTGATTGACCCTGTAACAGGCTCTCAACAAATGTCTTTGGATGAATGACCGTTCTGTGGTGAATTTACCATAGTAAGAGTTTTAACAACTGCTTCCACCAATAACTACTTCTTGAGGACCAGAATTATAAAGATTTCTTTGGTCGAACACATAAAACCAAGCTCATATCACGGAAAGGAATGAGGGAGCGGTAGTTTGGTTTCTTAGCATCTGCTCACCAAAATTCAATTCTTGTCCTTTCCTGTAATTTCTTCCTTCCCATTCCCATATGTGCCCACTGTGGGGTAGCGATGGAGCCAACAGTAGGTGGTTGTTTCCTCATCCACATTCGAGAATACTGCATTGCATTTTTCACCTCCAAGATTTGCAGTCCTATTCTTCATCAGCTCTTTAGCTTAGAAGAGGGTAAGATCTAGAGCCCGTAAAAGTTCTGGAGTTTTTATTTGACTGTAAGTACAACAGTGTGACAGCTGCCAAAGTAACCAGCGTGGTCATAGGCTGGCTTAATGAAAGTACAATGTACAGATCAAGGGGAGTAGCAGCCTCATTGTACTCAAAGCTCTTCATACCACACCTATCATGACATGTGTGTGAGTCATATATCAGGTTCTGAACTCAGCACTTCAAAACATTCTTGAACTCAATGTGAGTCTCCCTGGAGGAGGTAACCAGTAGCATGGGGTCCATGTCATTTGAAAGAAAACTGAAGATACCAAGGTTAAGTACGGGGAGAAGTTAGGAGAGAGAAAACATATGAGAGCTGTCTTCTAATAACTGAGCACTACCTTGGGCAAGAAGGGTTAATCTCAACTTTTTTTTTGCTCCAGAGGGTGGAACTAGACCTGTGAGTAGAAGTTATCTTAGTTCAGTATACAATGCACTAATAAGGCCCTTTCCAATTTAGAGTCTGGAAGTTTTACAGGAGCTTCTAGTATACTGGGACTTTCCAACCTAGGGCTTGAATTTCTTTTTGCTTTCTGTTTTGGTTGCTCAAGAGATGGCACCAAATTCTGCACTTAGAATTCTTTTGGCTCCCTAGCTCCACCTGAAAGCAATGAGATCCTTGGTGTCTCTGAGTTACAAAGCTGCCCTTGGTGCTTTATGGTCACGTGGTCATGACTTCCCCGAGGCTTCCGCTCTGGGGAGTGGTGATCTTTGCTGCTGTTAGGGAATGAGGGCAGGTGTTTTCTGCTCACCTGCTGGGTAGAAGAAACCCCTGAAGCCCCTGGAGAGCTTCCATTGGTGAGTCCCTCTGGACATTAATGGACACTTCAGAGT